TTATCACTCGAAATTCCTTGTCAGTCATTTCAAGGGCTTCTTGTGCTATAGGATCTAGAGCTTGAGAGTTATTATCCTTTGGTGGTGTAATTTCTTGATTTTTCGTATTTCTGGTATCTTTTTTTAAATTTTTATTCATTGTGGCAGGGGGTTCACAGTCCACAGGTTTGACACTATTGACTGACTAAGATGTTGCTGCGGTTACCAATTTGGTATGGCTACCTCAGTGACTGCTCAGTTGGCCACTAGTGCCTTGCATGTGTGGCTGCCTCGGGTCTTGGGCCTCTCTGGGGAGCCACCTCTCTGGTCAGCTTGGACTCTGCCGGGTTGGGGGATCACGGGGTGGTACCACAGGATGTGTGGTCTCTGCTGAGCTTTCACCTCCCGTGCTGGACTTCTCCCTGTTCCGTGTGCTCTGGCCCGGGCTGCTGGGATGCGCCGAGGCACCGCAGAGCGTGTAGTCTCTGCAGAGCTTCCCCTTCCCCTGCAGGATGTCTCCCTGTTCTGTGCGCACTAGGCTGGGCTTGGGATGGAGTCGGGTGGCGGCGGTGAAGCCTACCTGCTGCTGGATCGCGCGGCAGCAGCCACCCCCCCCACAGGGTGTATGGACTCTACGGAGCTCCTGTCTCCCTTGCTGGATGTCTCTGTGCTCCGTACACATTGGGCCCGGCTGCTGGATCACGTGGCAGCATTGTGGTCCCCGTGGAGTTCCCACCTCCCCTGCCGGATGTCTCTCTTCTCCGAGCGCACTAGGCCGGGCTGGGAATGGAGCCGGGTGCCTGCGGTGAAGCCTACCTGCTGGATCACGCAGTGGTGGCCCCACAGGGTTTGTAGTTTCTGTGGAGCCTCTGCGTCCCCTGCTGGACGTCTCCGCACTCTGTGCGCTCTGGGCTGGGCTGGGAATGGAGCCGGGTGGCAGCGGTGAAGCCTATCTGCCGGATCGTGTGACGGCAGCCCCGCAGGGCATGTGGTCTCCGCGGAGCTTCTGCCTCCCCTGCTGGACGTCTCCCCGTTCCATATGCACTTGATGTTATGTTTTTATAGTTTAATTCGGTTGATTTGTGGGAGAGAGTGACACTAGGGAACGTCTATTCTGCCATCTTGACCGGAAGTCTCAAACTGGGTCTGCATTTACTTTCAAATGGTTAAAAAAATATGTATGTATAGAGGGGGGGTGGGGGTGGTGAGTAGAGACATAGTGTTAAATTACACCCCCCCGAAATTCATATGTTGAAGCCCTAATCCCCAGTACCTCAACTGGAAATATGGTCATTGGCAGATGTAATAAGATAAGATGAAGACATACTGGAGTAAGGTGGGCTCCTAATCCAATATGATCAGTAAACAACAGAGTTATGTTGATACAAGGCCAGGGAACTATCGAAAACTAGGAGAAAGGCCTAGAACAGATTCTTTCCTAGCACCTTCAGACAAAACATGGTCCTGCTGACACCTTGATCTTGGACATCTATCCTCTAGCACTATGAGGCAATAAATGTCACTCAGTTTGTGGTATTTTGTCAAGGCAGCCCTAGCAAACTACTACAGAAAGCAAGCAAATACAGCAAAATTATAACATGTTGAATCTAGGAGGTAAGTATGTATATAGTGTTAACTGTACTATCCTTTCAACTTTTCTTCATGTCTAAAAATGTTAACACCTTAGGGTAATGTCTTAGAATCCTGTGAATATCCTGTTTTCCAGTGACCACTCATTTGACCGATATTTATTCTACTCAGCTGAGTAAAAGCTTTATTTATCAACATCCACAAAATAACCTGTTGGTATTTTGACTGGGGTCACATTGACTGTATAGAACAAGTTGGGAAGAACTGTCTTGACAACACTGAATCCTCCTAATCCACATATATAAAATATATCCTCATTTATTTAGATCTGCTTAGATTTCTTTCATGAGAGTTTTGGGTTTTCTTCATATAGATCTTGCACATATTTTGTTAGATTTATATCTAAGTATTTTTTCTTTTTCTGGTGCTAATGTACATAGTACTGTGTTTTTATTTCCATACTCCAATTGTCCATTGCGGTATGTAAAAAAGCAACTGACTTTTGTATATTTACATTGTACCCTGAAACCCTGCTATAATCACTGGTTCCAAGAGTGTTTTTCTTGATTCTTTGAGACTTTCTACATAGACCATCAATGTCATCTGCAAAGACAATTTTAGCTCTTCCTTCTCTAGTCTGTATACCTTTAATATCTGTTTCTTCCTTCTTATTGTGCTAGCTAGAATTTCCAAGACAATGTTGAAAAGGAGTGGTGAGAGAGGAGGTACAAACTTGCCTTGTTTCTGATCTTAGGAAAGCTTGTAGTTTCTCTCTATTAAGTATAATGCTAGCTGTGGTTTTTCTGTAGATGCTCTATGTTAACTTACGGAAATTCCCCTTTATTCCTAGTTTGCTGAGCATTTTTATCATGAACAGGTGTTAGATTTTGTCAAATGCTTTTCCTGCTTCTACTGATATATGACTTTTCTTTTTTAGCTTGTTAATGTGATAGATTATACTGAATGATGAACCAGCCTTGTATACCTGGAATAAATCCTAGTTGGTCACTGTGTATAATGCTTTTTATAAATTGGTGGATTTGATTTGCTAAAATTTTGCTGAGGATTTTTGCATCTGTATCCATGAGATGTTGCTCTGTAGTTTTATGCTCTTGTAATATCTTTGTCTAGTTTTGGTATTAGAGTAATGCTGGCCTTATAAAATGGGTTAAGAAGTATTTCCTCTGTTTCTATTTTCTGGAAGAAACTGTAGGGAACTGGTATAATTTTTTCCTTAAATGTTTGGTAGAATTCATCAGTGAACCCACCTGGGACTAGTGCTTTCTGTTTTAGAAGATTATTAATTATTGATTCAATTTCATTCTCTTTCAAACTTTCCCACCACTATGACTTTGCTTAAAATCTTCTGACATGCAAATATTTATAATATAACAGGAAAAAGGACTACAAAATATATATAAAATGCTACAGGGTTCTGGGTATAAACCCAAAGAACTGAAAGCAGGTATACAAACATCCTTATATATTCATGTTCACTGAAGCATTATTCACAATGGCTAAAAAGTGGAAACAACCCCAATGTCCACTGACAAGTGAATGGAAATGTGGTACATACATACAATGGAGTATTATTCAGTCTTAACAAGGAAAGAAATTTTGACACATGCTACAGCATGGATGAACCTGAAGACATTAAGTAAGATAAGCCAGCCACAAAAGGTTAAATATTGTATGATTCCTCTTTATGAGGTTCCTAGAGTAGCCAAATTCACAGGGACAAAAAGAAGAATGGTGATTGGCAGGGGCTGGGAGCTCACTTAACAAGCACAGAGTTTCAGTTTTGCAAGATGAAAGGAGTTCTGGAGATGGGCTGCACAACAAAGTAAATGTATGGTTAAAATGGTTAAGATGATAAATTTCATTATGCATGTTTTACCACAATTAAAAAAAAAAAAGACATGGAATCCTGCAGGCACTCAATAACTACTTGATGAACTTGTGGCTTTAAGAAATGCATATTTGGGCCGGCCCCGTGGCTCACTTGGGAGAGTGCAACACTGGTAGCGCCAAGGCCGCAGGTTCAGATCCTACATAGGGATGGCCAGTGCGCTCACTGGCTGAGCATGGTGCAGATGACACTGAACCGAGGGTTGTGATCCCCTTACCGGCCAAAAAAAAAAAAAGAAATGCATACTGAAGGATATTTTTTAAAAACGCTATGGGAGAGAATGCTATGAAAAGAAGCAAGAAGTCATGGGCAGGGGAGCACAGACATAAAACAGCAAAGTTTCAGATGAACTAATACGTGCAATGATAAAAGAAGGGATACACAGGCGGAGAAGGGGAAGAGGGACAGAGGAAGCAGCAAGCAGAAATAAAAGGGAAATACTGAGTTTTTTAAAAGTGGGTCACAGTTGGGTGGGAGCGGGGAGAGGGAGGAGGGAGGGAGGTTTTGGTAATGGGCCACAATAATCAACCACATTGTATATCGACAAAATAAAATTCAAAAAAAAAAAAAAAAAAAAGTGGGTCACGGACAAAGAGCCCAGATTCACCACACAGGCCAGACACCAATAAAATAAATAAACAAAGTGGTTCATGGGTAGAGTAGGGAGAAAAGCAAGCAGCTGAGGAAGAAGCTGGAAACCTAAGTTCATAGGTTGGAGCCAGACCCTGAAATGCCTGTTATGGCAACCCTGACATGTTAAAGAATTCAATTTAATCAATAAAACAGGGAACCTTAACTGCAATCTAGGAATACATGGATGGCAAAAGGAGTTCAATGACATCCCCTACTCCAAGTTGCATGTAGAATTCTAGTATGAATATTTATACTTTTTCTGGGAAGGAAGTTATACAGCTCTCATCAGATTCCCATGGGGTACAAAAAGTATAGAAATCACTGTTGCAGGCAATGGTGAGTCTTCTTCCCAGGCATATGGAATGACACATTTTGAACTTTAAGAAGATAAATTATCCTATGTAATGTAAAGGTGGGATAAGAGGCAAGAAAACAATTCAATGATTTATAAAGTTTCATTAAAAATTTAGTAAAATGTTTTGGTGAAAAATTTGCCCATCTTCTATCTCAATTTACAGATTTACAGGTAGACTATTTATAGATTATTTACAATAACCTAGGTAGAAGATTGGCAAATTTTTTTTTTTTAAACAAATCTTTATAAATTTTGCCATGTTGTAACACCACGATCCAGGTTCAGATCCCCATGCCGGACAGCCACCAAAAAAAAAAAGTTGGCAGATGTAATAAATTAACATGAAGTCATACTGGAGTAAGGTGGGCTCCTAATCCAATATGACTGGTACAGAATAGAGTTACGCTGACACAGTCAAGGAATTACTAGAAACTAGGAGAAAGGCCTGGAAAAGATCCTTCCCTAGCACCTTCAGAGAAAACATGTTCATGAAAACATGTTCAGAGAAGCGTTTTTTTTCTTTTTTATGGCAGCTGGCCAGTATGGGGATCTGAACCCTGGACCTTGGCATTATCAGCACCATGCTCTAACCAACTGAGCTAACTAGCCAAACCCCCGAAAAAAAATCTTTGTAAATTTTTCATTATATGCTGAAATTCTGACCTACACCAAAGAGGACTCTAACTGACTTCCTCTCAAGTTCTTCACCACATAATATATGCAACAAAGTTCATACTATTTTACTACATAAAAATGTCTAAAATTAAAATTAGCAAAAATGGACAAATTAGTGATTTTAAATTCTCTTCGTCATCCATGGTGAAGAATGACTCCCGACCACTTACTGAGAAGCAACATCATTCAAAAAAGCAAAAAATATGATAGCACAAGCGTTAATGAGGTGCGAGAAAAACAACCATATTCCACATTGATAATGCATACGTCTTTGACCAACGAATTCCATTTCCACAAATTTAGCCCTACAAACATGCTCACACAACGTGTATAAACACATCTGAATAAAGTTATTCAATGCAATACTGTTTGTAATAGCAGAGAACCAGTTAAAGTATATCATGAAATACCAATACAATGTATATTATGCAACCATTCTGAAGGAGGTATATGTCTGCAGAGAAAAGGCTAAAAATAAATAAACAAACAAGGTACAGTTAACTCTGAACAACACACATTTCAACTGTGCAGATCCACTTACACATGGATTTTTAATAAATACTGTATAGTACTGTAAATGTATTTTCTCTTCCTTATGATTTTCTTAACATTTTCTTCTCTCTAGCTTACTTTATTCTAAGAACACAGTATGTAATACATGCAACATACAAAATATGTCTTAACTGACTTTACATGTGGATTTGACTGGAAAAAAAAAAGTTATACGAGGTGTTAAGATGTCAGATACCTTAACCCCCATGTTGTTGAAAGGTCGACCGTAGTTCTATTTAGGATCGCCAAGATACACTGTGAAGTGGGGAAAAGCAAAGTACAAAACACCACACAGAATAGTACTGTGACGCTGCCCAGTTAGCTCTCTTGGGAGAGCATGGTGCTGATAACACCAAGGGTTCGGATCCATGTATCCACCAACGATCGAAAAACAAACAAACAAACAAACAAAAACTACTGTGTATGTGAAAAATGTGAACAGCAACAAAAAAGGGACATATACACATCGGTAGTAAATACATTTGCTGTATTTAGACCAAAATATGTCTGGAAGAATTCACAACAAACTGATAACAATGGTAGCATTTGAATAAATAAGAGAGGATTGGAGGATAGCCTCAGGAAGGAGATAGATGACTTTACATCCTCTTACACCTCTTACTTTTTTAACATATGTGTACAGTGCCTATAAATAAATGAATGAATAAATACATAAGAAAATTTGTAAAAATTAATGCTACTATCTATGTGTTATGGATATGTTCAGACACAGAACTGGAAATGTGTACTCCAGGCACAAAACTAATGTAAAAAATATAGTTGAAAATGAGCACTGTGGGTAGAAAATGAGAGGAAAAAACTCCCTAACAATATCAACTACAATGCGAGTACCTGATACATATGAAGGAGACAATGGAAACCATGGACTACACACTGGGTATATATACATTTACATACACATACACACACATACACACTCTCTCTCACTCCCCTCCGCCCCCCAAGAAAAAAACTGCCAAATCCCATGATTTTTGGTTTTTTTTTTTCTTGGCCCTGGCAAGTGCAGGATCCGAACCCTTGACCTTGTAGTTATTAGCACCATGTTCTCCAAGTGACTTACCAGGCCAGTCTCAAATCCCATGACTACCTGGCAGAATTAAAGGCTGAAAATCATTAGGTTACTAAAATGAAAGTACAACAAAGCCGAAGTTGATAATCAATTTTGAACAAAAGCAACTCCATGACCACAAACTAATTAATGTACCCAACTGGTTCCTGATGAAAGACTTTCCTAGATATATAACAGATAATTTTAGCTCCTCCCAAAGACAATGAATCAAAAAGCCTTTCCAAGTTATATTATAAAATGTACTGGGTTTGTTTTTTCGTTTTTGTTTTGTTTTGTTTGTAAAGGTGGAAAAGAGAACATTAAACTGGTAATCAGGTGACCTGGACTCTGGAATTAATTGTTCGACTATGAACAAATTCCATCTCTTCAGACCTATTTACTTGTACTCAAATTAAAGGGTCTAGACTTGATCAAGGTAAAACAATTCTGTAATTTTGAGATTATACAGGAAGCAGATAAGAATTTTCTAAAATTTCTTTCAGCCTGTTTTTAAACTTGGCTTAACCACTTAAAAGGTAGGTTTAACACTTAACGTTTAACAGAATACAAAAAGACAATCATTCCCAAAGGGACAATCCTAAAGAGTAGGCTGGTCCTGAATATTTCAAATTCGTCAACAGCAAGATGAAATGTCAAGCTTTTGAGAGCCCTTTGATTTTGGAATGCTTCTTAGTTTCTAGATCTAATATTCACATTGGTCTAAATGCCTAATTAATTAATCCTTCAGTAAGTATATTTGGTATTTATGGTAACTTTTGATTACTTTATGATACCTTCTTAACAGCTTAAGGTTTCCCTCCAAACAAGTCAGTCTGAATTTCAAAAGAACAGTGGATATTAAGCATACAATGAACTAAAAGTTAACCAAATATCTAAAAATGAAGTAAAAATATCGTGCACCAATGAAATACGTCCTTCATTATTCACTTGAAACTCCCTTTACAAAACAATTAAAGTTCAGTATAGTTATTCCAAATTGCTTTTACTAGAGCCAAAACAAAGCTTAGCTTTCTAATCACAAAGTCAAACTCATATTCATATTTCTACCCACAGACAACGATCCACATTCTTGGTTGAGAAAAATCAACTGCCTTACCAATTGCTAATTGCACTAAATACAGCAAATACATTGGTAACCCTGGGTTAGGCAAAACTGCCTTAGATATGACCCCAGACTTCTGGTCAAGATGGTCGAATAGATGGTCACCAGCATCACTCTATCCCACCAATCAACCACTTTACAACTATAAAAAAGCAACAATAGCCAAGCTGGGGCCACTAGGACTCAAGGGAAGAGAAGAGACATACAGAGTCCATGAAGGTGGGAGAAGCCATGATGAGAGAAAGAAAAAACTGCTCTGACCATTTCAAGCCCCAGCCGTGGACCTGCTGAGTGCACAGAGCAGGAGCCTGCAAAAGCCACAGCTCTGCCCTTTGGATGAAGTTGCTTGGAGGCAGCAGGGAAGAACAGGGCCTTGGTGGCCCCCAGACCAGCAAGACCTCTAATAGGGTTCCCGTGGACCCATACAGTAGCGAGGAGCCACAACAACTGAAAAAAAGGAGCCTCTCGAGGCCAGTGAGTCATCACAAGGGATCACTGCATGGCCCGTCCCATGGGAAGTGTTTGCAGCACGGATGGTGGAGGAAACGGGCCCACTGGGAGAACACTGGGGCAGAGCAAGGACAGTTGATCTGCACCCCAACCAGCGAAGGACCACTCAGAGGAGACTGGTCAGAAATATAGAATTTCATGGGGTGCAGTTTGATGAAAAGACTCAGGCCCAGACCAGAGTATCTTCACAAACCAGATGCACTGGATCTCTCAAGAGCCAGAAGTACCTACGAAGTCAACCATTAAAACCTGAGCTGCACAAAAGTCTTCTCTAGGGAACCAGCACCAAAGCAGCAATTTAGCTCAACCACACAGCTCAAGTACTGGTCCTCACAGGAAGTTCCCCCATTTTAGAGGTAAGCAAGGGACAACAAATTAGTTCCAGCGCACAGTTTAAATAGTGGTAACAGCAAATAATCCAATGAAGAACTGAAAGAAAAAAAAACAAAGTATCCATAACCAGAAACAAAGTTTTATATTAACTAGTAAAGGTCTCATTTCACCAAAGAACACCTATAACACCTAGAAGGACCAGAAGTCCCCTGGGATACCAAGCCAGAAAGGAGTGAAGGCCGGGGTCCCCAGCAATGCCACTGACACCTGCAACCAATCCCAAGGGTGGGGGGACACAAGGGCCTCAGCCACACTCCACCAACATGAGCAGCCAGCCCAGCGGCAACCACCGAGCTGCCACAGGAAGCGCTCTGGACTCTCCCAGCCAGGGCAATGGGGGGCCAAGGGCCTTGGCCAACACCCACCCCCCGCCATGTGCAGCCAGCCTAGTGACGACTACTGAGCCACCGCAGGAAGCAGCCCAGACCTCCCAAGCCGGGGCAGTGCCCCCCCCCCCCCTATTAAGGCAGAAGAGCAGATGTTTATTGCCACATTTTTGCTGAGGTCTGGGTGCAGTACCTTCTAGTCCAAGAAGGGCTGGCAGCCACAGAGAAAAAGGTTTTCCTTCCTCTCCAGGACTCCTCTCTGCAATCAGTGGCTGCAGCCCTGGCGGAGCCAACGCCACGTGCACAACAGTCCGCAGGCAACAGTTGTCGTGGCTGGTGAGACTCGCGAAAGAGCAAATCTGAGTAGACAGTGCACTTGCATGAAGTATCCTGAGTGCCACAGTTGATGACTGAGACCCACTGACTTAAATTACATTTCAGAGTCAGCTAGTTTTATTTGACCCTGGCAAAACATGATTTTGCTCTAGAGACAGCACTGAGGCCAGAGATTAACTCTCCCTAGCGGACGTCGAAGTCAGCTCGCAGAGGGACTGTGAGTCAGTTGCCACGACAGTGGACATGTTTATCCAACGTTCTGCATTATTTTTCATTGCCATTATATATTATTTGATCTCCTCAAGCCCCCCAAATAGATTTAACTTTAAAAGTAATTCAGTTCTCAAATATACTCAAAATAATAGAACAATCACTGTTTTCAGATAGTATGCTAACTGCAGTTCACTGAAATGATCAATATTTGAGCCACATGCAGATTAACAGGGCGCCTGCAGACGTCGTGAGCATGTCCGCAATAACTGAGAAGCAGGACTCTCCCCAGAGAGGAAGAGGCAACACTGGACTAATCAGTCATCTTTGTTTTCTTTCCCCACGACTAGCCCCGTTCTTGTGGTGACAGTGAGAAGCCCGTTTGTAATGCAAGGACAAGCAGACAGACGGGCAT